ATATATTTATAGAGACAGTATTCACATTAAAATCTCAATACTCTCAACACCAGAGGGTTAAAGGTATGAAATTGAAAGATCAAGTATAAATTTTTTTTGTCATTTTTTCTGGGATATATTCTCAAAATAACAAGTGAATAAACTGAAAAAAAATGTTTTTGCAGTAAGATACGAGACATGGAGAATAATAAACATTCAATAACTGAATTGAAAACATTCACAACTGATAGAGTCCTAATAAAGGAATAAAAATCCGAATACATGTTGAGAGTTACCATCTGCCTATTTGGAAGTCCCAGTGATATCACGTCCTGACAAAACATCAACACATTTAATATATTTCAAAGAAAATGCACAGTACACACCACAGACAAAATGATTCAATAGGGCTGGGAAGATGGCTCAGTGGTAGAGGGCTTGCCTTGCACGTATAAGGCCCTGGGTTTGAGTCCTCAGCACCACATAAGCAGAAAAAGCCAGAAGTGGCGTTGTGGCTCAAGTGGCTGAGCGCGAGCCTTGAGCTGAAGAGCTGAGCGATAGAGCCCAGGCGCGATAGAGCCCAGGCCCAGAGTTCAGGTCCCACGACTGGCCAAAAAAAGAAAAAGATTCAACAGGTCATCTGGAAAAATCAGTAGGCAAAAATTTAAAAATAACTTAATGTCTTTTTTTTCTTTTCCCATTTTTAATTTTTAAATAATTTTATTTCTTAAAAATATTACCAAATTCACTGAATACTAACCAGCTTATACTATTGTCCATTTGCCCACATTTGTTCTTATCATCTTCTACCCCCTCACGCACCCTCATATGAACAAATACACCATATGACTTACAATTTTTCTGAATCATTTGAGAGTAAGTTGAATACATTATGCCCTTTCCCTCTTAATAGATCAGTGTATTTTACTGAAGAATAATGGTATTTTGTTACAGAAATCTGGTACCTTAGCAGTAAGGAAATTTATTTACCCTTCCTAATCAAAATTTACCAGTTGATCCAGTATATTTCATTTGCATTTACTTTTTATTTCTGTTTACGTCACTTTAATCTGAAATCATTTTTTTATCTTTTCTCTTGCATGAACATTGAGTTAAGAGTATACACTGAACCAGGCACCCATGGCTCACACCTATAATCCTAGCTACTCAGAAGGCTAAGATCTGAGGATCATGGTTCAAAGCCAGCCCGGGCAGGAAGGGCCATGAAACTCTTATCTCCAGTAAACCACCAGAAAACTGGAAGTGGCACTGTAGCTCAAGTGGTAGAATGCTAGCCTTGAGCTGAAGAGCTGAGGGACAGCACTTAGGCCCAGAGTTCAAGACCCATGACCAACAACAACAACAAAAGAAAGAGTTTATACCAGCCATTGTACTGGAATGTTTCTCAGGCCAGGAGTGTAGCTCAGTGATAGAGTGCTTTTCTAGTATAGTTGATGCCCTAATCTCCATTCCCAACACAAGGAAGGAAGGAGGAAGGACAAATATTGCTCAGTTTGTCTCATCTTTCTCATGTTTAGGTTCTGGGATGTTACATAGGTGAGATCCTGAGCAGCTCTGACTATACATTGCTGGTATGCCTCTTTTTGGTGGTACTTAATTTGATGGTCTAGTCAAGGTGTTTGTTGTCTTTTACCTCATCTCAACTAAGGAAAACACTTAAAGCCATTATATAACTTCTTTCAAACTTGATGCATTCAGCATTCACTGGTCATCTTGTGTCAACCAATCTTTACTATGATAGCTGTAAAACAGATTTTTCTGGTTCAGTCTCTCCATATTGTTTTTCCCCATTCATTTTCTTCACTTGTCCTTTTTTTTTGCTATCAGTATATACTTGGCAGTTTTTATTTTATTAGATTATAATAAAACATTATTAGATTATATTATTAAATTATAATTAGATTATAATTTTATTAGATTATAATAGTATATTTATTGTGATTCACAAGTTGTCCAGGTGCTGTCAGTAGGAACCAACTCAGGCTGGGTCCTGTTTTTTTTTTAATTTTTTATTGTGAAAATACTGTACAGAGGGGTTACAATTACATAGGCAAGATAATGATCAAGCATTGTTGCCTCTTCCTTTGTTTCCCCTTCCCATCCCTTCCCATCTCCCCACCCCTTCTGTGTTCTTTTGACACATGCTCCTTGTCTTATGAATGCTTTACTGTCTGGCACAACCAAATGTTCCATTTGGCACAACCAAATGTACCTCTCCGGTGCCACACCTGGAACTGGTCATTTCTTTGAGGGATCCTGCTTCCTTTTACTAGAGAATAGTTTGGGTCACAGGGAACTTTAGATCCTAGTTGCTTGGGAAGAAAGCTAAAGTGTGTGTGTCTGTGTCTGTTTATTTGTGTGTGTGAAAGAGAGAGAAAGAATATATGTGAATCATTTAAAAATCTCCAATTCTAAATCAGTTCTCAAGGAGTTCTGTCTTGCTCACCTGCTTATACCGCTTTAACCCATCCCATGTTTCCGTCACTCCTTCCACAGTAAAAACTGTAATCTTTAACACATCAACATACTCACTCATTTACTCCGTCTTACTGTATACATAAAGTTGATTCACATGCTTTCTGTACATATTTCTCTTAAAAAGGGTTAAAGAGAACAAATGATTATCAATATCCCCCATTCCCACTCCCCTGCTACCAGCATTACACAGTCAAAGGCAGTTTTCAGGATTGACAATACCTAGGATAGAGCAGCATTCCAGATTAGTTGTCTCTGTACCCAAAGTAGTTATTTTACAAATTTGGAATACAGTTGGGTTTATCCATTTCTGTTTGCATTCAGAGTGGTTCGTTTTTAAATCTTATTGACTTAATTCTTTGTACATGTATAACACTCACATACATCCTAAAAGGAAAACTATAAAATAGTTTACTCAGAGAGATTCCATTTTCACTCATGTTACTTTTCCTTGGTTCCTCCCTACCCTATCTGCTGTAAGTACTCAACTTCATTATTTGCTGGCTTATTCCATTCCTTTTTTCACAAGAATAAGAAGAAAATACATGCATACCCCCTTTTTTCTTTTTTTATTGTAAAGATACTGTACAGAGGGGTTACAGTTGCATGAGTAAGGTAATGAGAACATTTCCTATCGATCCTTGTTACCCCCTTCTTTATTTTTCCCCTGCTCCCTTTTTTCTTAAACAAAAACGTATGTATATTTTATAAACTTTATTGCATCTTGGTTTTATCCCTTTAATATATCATACAATTTCATATCAGTATATCAATAATCTGCCAGCTAAAGGTTCTTTTGCTGTATTCATATGGAAATCACAAATAGGCAAAGTGCAGCTCCCATAGTTGCCAACAACTCTGAGCTTTGAGTGCCAGCCGCCCAGCACAAGCTGCTAGTGCTAATAGCTCTGTCAGCTGCCTTTGGTGGCTGCTCAACTCACACTGACTCTTTGGAGCTCTTCCCATTGCTGGGACCAGTTCTCTATAGCTCTTCTCTCTTCATCGTTTTTTACCTTCCACAATCCTTCACCTCTCCATTGCCTCTCACCCGCTCAGCACTTCTGCAATTGTTCACAATCTTAGTTCTCCAGTCTCTCCAACTGTCTACTCGCTGGAACTTATCAGTTCTCTTCTAGCTGCTGGATGTGTGCAATGCTTGCAGGAATTGCTGTTCTTCTTGTTGCCAGCATAGCTCAATCTAATCATGCTTAAAGACCATAGAACTACTCAAATGAGGCTTTATTGGGGCCTAGTTTGCAGCACAAACGGGACAACAGTATGTGAAAAGGAAGTCACCCTAGAGGCGGTGAGAGAATTGTTTGCTTATATAGCTAACTTGCAAAGCATACACACATATTTTGGTATAGTATACTAACTGTACCTTTTGCATAATCATACTAGTGTAACTAAGACTGGACTGGCCAGCCTGATCCTGCTGTCGTGGGCAGGAGACATCTGAAAGTCAACAGAAGCTGCGCGTAGAGGGAGATGTGCTGAGCTCTGAAGTCATCACAGGGTGTCTAGAGTGATCATGACTGAAACAGAGTCTCTTGACACAGCAGCTGTGGAAGTGATTTTGCCTGGAACTGAAGCAATGGCTTCTGTGGTGGTCATGGCAGCTGTGGCACTTTCTTTGGCTGGACGCAAGTCTCTTCCAGGTGGCAGCGGCTGATTAGAGTCTCCTTAGCAGCTGTAAAGTGTTTAAAGTAGCTACAGCTGTCATGATGACTGCTCTCGTAATCCTGAAAGAAGCAGCTGGTTGATTGACAGCTCTATAGATTCTACGAAAGCAATGGGACTGAAGCTGAGGTTTATACCTTCTCAGATGGAACTTCAAGAGTGGCAGCATTGTCACTTTTAGCCTTGCAGGACTCAGGACGTCAAGAGACAGTACAGCTGACCTATGTCTCTGTCTGACCTGAGATAGTCACCCAGTTCTGCTCCCTGGCAGTAGCTACTACTGTACCTGGCCTAGCACTGTCAGTTCACTCACTAGACAGCTAGGAGGAAAAAGACATGAAAGATTTTTTAAAACAAAGATATAAAACAAAGCTTGACATTCTCCTATAAACCTTTATCTAACAATACTTAGCCTCAGCCAAACACCAGCTTGGAGGACTGGATTCTCCTAATCTGTCTCCATTGTCCTCATGCTTTTTTGCGTAGGACCATTGTGTGTGTATATTATAGCTCTTCTAGTTGGTCTCCTCTGGGCATTTAGATCATTTCAGAGACTGTGTAAATACAAATAACGCTGCAATGAACATACATGCATAGTTTCATAAAATTAGAAGATTGTCTTTAGGTAAACTCTTGGACGTGGGATTTCTGGGTGGAAGGATGAATGCAAATGTAGTTGGGTTCAAACATGCCTGATACACCAGTGTAGTTTGTCAAAATTCCATATTAAAATACCTCATTTTCCTCGGTATGTGTGTATATCCATGTCTTGATAGGAAGTTCTTTACCTGTGTGTTTGAAAGACTAAAGGCATTAACCTGCAGTTTGATTGATCATATTTGTAGGTTGCTTCCGGTGAATGCAATGAAGACACTGAAGTTTACAACATCACCCTGTGTACCGGGGATGAACTCACTCTTATGGGGCAGGCAGAAATCCTTTATGCTAAGACTTTCAAGGAAAAGTCACGCCTCAACACAATCTTCAAAAAGATTGGGAAGCTCAATTCCATCAGCAAGCTGGGAAAAGGCAAAATGCCATGCCTCATTTGCATGAATCACCGGACCAATGAAAGTATCAGCCTTCCATTCCAGTGCAAGGGCAGATTTAGCACCCGAAGTCCCCTGGAACTTCAGATGCAAGAGGGTGAACACACCATCCGTAACATTGTGGAGAAAACCCGACTCCCTGTGAATGTGACTGTGCCCAGTCCTCCACCCAGAAACCCATATGACCTCCATTTCATCCGAGAGGGGCACCGCTACAAGTTTGTGAACATCCAGACCAAGACCGTGGTGGTTTGCTGTGTGTTGAGAAACAACAAGATCCTCCCCATGCACTTTCCATTGCACTTATCCGTCCCCAAGTTCAGCCTCCCTGAACACCTGGTGAAGGGAGAGCTGTGGCCTGAAACCCTGGTCCATCACTGGCTGGGTATCTGTCAAGAGCAGTTTGACATTGACGAGTACTCACGGGCTGTCCGTGATGTGAAAACAGACTGGAACGAGGACTGCAAGAGTCCCAAGAAGGGCCGCTGCTCGGGCCACAACCACGTCCCCAATTCCCTAAGCTATGCTCGAGATGAGCTTACCCAGTCCTTCCACCGGCTTTCAGTCTGTGTATATGGCAACAATCTCCATGGCAACAGTGAGGTCAACCTCCATGGCTGCCGGGACCTGGGGGGAGAATGGGCTCCCTTTCCTCATGACATCCTGCCCTACCAGGACTCTGGTGACAGTGGGAGTGACTACCTTTTCCCAGAGGCTAGTGAAGAGTCTGTGAGTGTCCAAGGAAAGTCAGAACTCCCTTATGAAGAGCTTTGGCTGGAGGAAGGCAAGCCCAGCCGTCAGCCTCTCACTCGCTCACTGAGTGAGAAAAGCAGATGTGACCCATCTCGAGGCTCTGTCAGGTCTAAATGTACAGCTTCTCCTCTTCTTGTCCCTGAGACTCTTGGAGCTGCAATGAAGTCTTCAGAAATTGCCCTACCTCCACCTCCGGTGCCTCCCAAATCTGAAGCCGTAAGTTGTTTGCTTTTGAGTGGTGTACCAATCTTTCTGTCTCTATGCTTAGTCCTCTGTACTGTTTGTTTGGACAGTATTGGACCTTGAACTCGGGCCCTTTAGGTTGCCTTTAGGTGCTCAACCACTTGAACCACACTACCAGCACCACTCATTTTTTTTTAAAGAAAGGGTTATCATAATAAACAAATGTGCTTAATTGGATTGAAATACCAATGTTACTAGGTTACTCCACTAATAAGGAGTTAGAGTCGGGTGAGAGTGTTATGTTGGATGAGAAACTTCTTGAGATATTTTTTTTGTTGGTCATGGGGCTTGAACTCTGGGCCTAGGTGCTGTCCCTCAGCTCTTCAGCTCAAGGCTAGTGCTCTACCCCTTGAGCCACAGCTCCACTTCCCTTCTTGAGATATTTTAAGAAGAAATGTTTAAACCTGACTTTGGAGCTAGAGGCATTAACTCGAATGGCAGAGTGGAGACCCAGGGTTCTCATTTACAGAATAAATAAGCAAACATATAAACAACCAACCCACCCTGACTTGTTATTTCCTAGAAAACTGGTTATAGGAAGTAGACCCTAGGCCAAGAAAGAGGTAATTGCTCTAACAGAAGTATTTGGTGACAATGCCTAGACTATATAGCAGCTAGTAACAGTAAGTGGTAGGGAGAAATGAGGTGCTTGGAATATAGTTTGAAGATAGACCAACAGTTGTCACTGACATTGAATGGACGAGGGAAGTAAAGGAAAGCAAGCAATAAAGGAAAACTGGGTGTTTAGCAGATCAAAAGTGGATGTTAATGTCATTTGCAGTGATAGGATGTCTGAAAGAGAAGAGGAGTATAGAATATGAGAGACAGCAGAGAGGACCCAGGAGGCATCAAGCATCATTTGTAACTTTTTCATGTATCCCTGACAGTACACTGAGGTAAAGCATGAGTCTGTGTACACACACACACACACACACACACACACACACACAGAGCAGAATCAGGTGCCATATTGTTATGCTTAGATCTTAAAACATTACCCAGAGCTAGATGGATCTCCCATGAACTTTTCATGCTAAAAGATCAATCAGGAGCTGTGTGGAATATGGCTAGCGGAGCCTATGGTTACAGTGTATATGGTCCTAGGTTCAATCCCCATAACTCCCGAAAAAGTAAAAAGTCATTACAAATAGGAGAAAGGACTTTTGGCTTTGGTGTGGGTTTGTTATTTTGTTTTGGGTTTTTTTTTTTTTTTTTTTTTTTTTTTGAGTAACATCCACTCTGAACCTTTGCTACTCAGTTTGATCATTGTATGTTGTTATACCTGAAGAAAGGATGCACTAAAAGGATCAGACAGCATTATCTTTATGTGTTTGATAATATGTATTATGGTGATACACTTTGTTTCTATCTCTAGTGGAGTCCATTCTAAAAAAAAATTGACATGAATCCCAGTGTATTAGAAGAATTAAAGTCTAAACACACCCACAGCACGGGATTGAGAACCAGTGGTCTTTGGGCCTTTGTCCACTCTTCCTCCATTGACTGGTCTCCAGAAACATTCTTGGAATCCTGAGTCTGTGAAGAACCCAGTCTTAAAACTGTGGAATTACTGGGGCCAATGCTAAAAATACGAACAACCATAAGACCTGGACTGTGGATCTTGGTAGCTTTCAGTTTGATGTAGAAAGTGAGCAGATGTGCTGGGCGCCAGTGGCTCATGCCTGTAATCCTAGCTGCTAAGGAGGCCAAGATCTGAGGATCGTGGCTCAAAGCCAGCCCAGGCAGGAAAGTCTGTGAGACTCTTATCTCCAATAAACCACCAGAAAACCAGAAGTGGCACTGAGGCCCAAGTGGTAGAGCACTAGCCTTGAGCTGAAGAGCTGAGGGACAGCACTCAGGCCCAGAGTTCAAGCCCCACGATTGGCAAAAAAAAATAAAGTGAGCAGATGAAAATCAGCCAAAAAGTGATAAACAATAGAAGAGAGAGACAGATAATGTGTGTGTAGGAAACCATAGAACAAAGGGCAACTTCTATCTGGGAATGAATGATAACTTTCATGAAGATGTTGTTTTACGTGAGTGTAGAGAATGTACATTAAAAAAAGGAAGAGCAGAGAGATGAGAAAGACCATTTCAAGTAAAGCATGAACAAGGGTATGGGAGCAGGGGCAGCTTAAACATGTAAGTTCTCTCTGGCTGCTTGACAGGGTTCAGTAGAGTACATGAAGGGCAGAGGTGGCCAAAAGGTTGGCAGCAACACATGGACAGCCATAAATGTTGGGCAGTTCATGTCAGGCATTTTGCTTAGCTGTCCAGAAAGAGCCCTCATTTCTACAAAGGTTTCCTGAGAGAGGTCCCATCTCTTGCTTCCTAGAAACTTCAAGTCTGCACGGATTCCCTTTGTTGCTTAAAGGATCTTGGAGGAACCTTCAGACACAAGCAGAGAGATACTCAATAAGAAAATGGAATATTTAGGGAATTTTTGGTGGGATCAAGGTCCTTGGGTCCTTGTAGTCATGTCATTAAGGAGACACTTTTTCTAGGAAGTACTAGGCACCTTTAGTGAAGTCAGAACTCAGCTTTGTAATGGTGGTATTTGATGGTTGGGGGCCTTGATCTTTATTCAGAACATTAATTATATGAGCTTCTCCTCTTTAACTTTGGTCCTATCTGGCATGTAATGAGTGGCTCTCAGATTTGTTGACATAGCAAAATCTAGAGGTAAGAAACCAGCATCATTTGTATTTGTATCTGTGTATACCTCTGTGTGTGTGTGTGTGTGTGTGTGTGTGTGTGTGTGTATGTGTGTGCGTGTGTGTGTGTGTGTGCATGCACGCATGTGCATGAGTGCATGCGTGCGTGTCTGGTCAAAGGTGAATAAGGACATAAACATTAAGAAGTCCAATCTTGACCTTGATACTAAACGACAAACACTAGAGTTAAATTTAAAACTGAAAGCAAACGTCATTTTAAAAAACAAGGAAGAAAAGATTTAGACTTCCAGTCCAAGCTATAATCTCTTATGACATAAGAGAATGTCCAGTGTTTATAAATCATTATAAACAAAGATTTTTATAAACACCTGAAATCGTTTACTTTTAAAGAAAAAAATCTTACATTTTAAATGAAGTCTTTTTTTAAAAAATCGGTTCTTCAACCATGAAATGAATTTTCCCTTCTTTAGGATGAGTGTGGGATCAAAGAACATCATAATTTTTAGATACAGCTCCAGCTTGTAATTTTTAAAAGGGAACTTTAGTGGGGCATAAATTCAACTGCTTCTGCAGAATTAACTAAAAGTTCTGTTTTACATAGAATAGGAGTTCTAGAAAAGAGATGTAACATGTGTCTAACATCCCACCTAGATGGCAATGAGCTTTCCAGTGAGGGAAGCCAACAGGGTATCATCTGGGAAGGTGACAGCCCCTACCAGGTCCTCAGGAATATATGATAAGGCCATGGACCAATCAAAAACATGCTGTCTCATAGTAATAATGCAAAGCTGATGATGGGCTAATGAACTGTTTCATTAACCCAGCCATGTGAGGAAGGGTCTTAAAGGTGCAGTAGCTGCATTGTAGTACATGTCAGCTTTTCTTTTTCTTCTAATTATGTGTCACATTCAGTTCCAGTGTCCTAAGTTGTGATATTATACTCTCTCTAGCAGGTTTTCATGGTCTTTGATTCTTTTTGTGAAAATAAGAATAAATCTTTCCCCTTCAACAATCATGCCTGATTAGAATGATGCTGTAGTCATCTTGTGTCTTTGTAAAGATTAATACAGGTTTTTGAACAAAATACTGCCATTTATCCTTTGGGGCGTGAGAAACTATTCCCTGACAGAATTGTCCTCAGAAAAAGTAAATGGTTGTGGGTTCCAGAAGTAAATAAGACTTGGCCACTCAAATCCTCTAGCAGTATTGCAGCCAGGTCCAAGCTGAGGGAGAGCATGCCCAGCTTACTGGGCAGTGCCACTGTCGCTTAAAATTTTGCAGGGAGGCCATGAACCAAAATGACTCTCTTAAATGAATTATCCTTATTGATCCAGTCATTTATTCTAAACATATCCTCTGTTTCATAACATTGTGGGCCTCCATAAATCACTTTAATTTATGAGTATTGGCTAATATGTCTAAAATATTTATCCAAATATACTCTACAAATGACAAGCATGATTCAAGAGCTTTTTTCCCTCCATATTTTTTCCTTTTTAGAAAATACAGTTTTAGGGCTGGGAAGGTGGCTCAGTGGTAGAGCGCCTGCCTTGCATGCCTGAGGCCCTGGTTTCAATTCCTCAGCACCACATAAGCAAAAAGAAAAAAGCCGGAAGTGGCGCTGTGGCTCAAGTGGTAGAGCGCTAACCTTGAGCTGAGGGACAGCGCCCCTCAGAGTTCAGATCCCACGACCGTACCCAAAAAAGAAAATACAATTTTAAAAAACAATGACAGGAACACTTTATATAATATGGAATTTTATACATAGAATGACTCCCTTACTGCTCTGGTCGATACAGTGAATTACAAATGGTAATCAAAACTATTAGTTAGGTTGTGGGTATGTACCTCAATCGTAGAACACTTGCCTAATGTAGGCAAGGCTCTATATAGGTCCAATCCCCAGCCCTCCCTGCCAAAATACAACTATTGAGTGATCCTCTAAAATCTCTTGCACAACAGTATCTTACCAGGAAAAACCAAGACCCATTGATCAATATCCTTCATCTGTCTCTAGTAATAGAAAACAAAAGCAAAGAAAAATAACTGCATCTACACTTAACTTTGCTGTTAACATTATAGCAGTTCCTGACATTAGTAAGAAGAAATCCATAAAAGAAGCTCTAAGTTTTGAGCTATTCATTTAAAAAAACTGTATTGTGGTACTGATGAATTTGTTTAACCATTAGCAAATTGACAGGAGAAAGGTATAGGGAAAAGATGAAGTGATAATCCATATTCATCACTAGGAGACTGGGAGAAAACCATGTTGTTGTTTGAGAAAAACAAGACTAAAGG